ATTGCTGTAAGATTTCAAAGAGTAAGCATTTATTCTTATATAAGCATTTATCCTGGTGCTTAGCTATGTGACCATCACTCAATGGACACCTGGCTCTTTGCAGACAGGCCTCCTTAGAAAGGCTGGCTGTTCCTTGAGTTTACAGAACCATTTGGACATAGTCTGCTTTGAGTCAATCAAAGTGTCAACACAATAGAAAATAAGCTATTAATAAGGTGTCTAGAGTTATTGCTGGTTTAAGCTATGTAGAATAAACATTATAAATAACTTATCAGGAGAGGTTCCAGGTGAGCTGCTCCCAGGTCATGAATGTTTTAGAATAAAAGGAGCCTTTCTTCCAATCCCTTCATCTCCCATTTGAGGCAATGGAACCCTGGGAAGGCTAAATGCCTTCAACACAGGCTCAAGGATGGAATGTGAGCTCAGGCCTCCTGACTGGGAGCCCCTGAAAAGAGCAACAAGAAATTCTGCCTAATTGAAATCAGCGTCATCACTCCTAGGACTTGATTTTAATATCTGTATGTAATTTTTACACAACACTTTCCTCCAGGTTCACAAGAGGAGGCGTGCATACAAAATGCAAAAACATGCTCACCCATCCGTTCACATGCACTTTATCAGTATTTACCAAATGGCAAGAAAATCTACACTGAATTTGCTCTGATTCAAAGATTTGTCCAAGATTAGTAATGATGTGTCTTAGAGTAGATGGAAAAGGATGTAGTGAACAGAAAGAACACATTTATAACCAAAATAGCCTTAAACTCTGAATAATTTCTTCCCTCCATACTATTATGGTTTATGAAGTATTTTAAGCATATTTAATACAAAAATTTTTACAATATTGCAGCAAAATTGAGAAGCAAAGCTTGTTGGTAGGGATGTGAGATTTTTTTTCAATTTTTTTTTTCTTAGTGTGTGTTTGCAATACATAATAATTGCATTCTGCATGGGGAGTTTGTACAGGGATCTAACACATCTTAATTCTCTTCCTTTTCATTCCTTTCCCCCCCTCCCCCTCCTTCCCTGCATCCCTCGGTCCCCTTCTCTTTCACAAAACTCCAGTCTCCCTGTTTCCTACTGTCTATCTTCTGGGTATTTTGCTCTTTGGGATATAAGATCGTTGCCTGTAATACAGACGTGTCCAACCTGTGGTCTTTGGGCTGCATGTGGCCCTAGCCAGCTAATGATGCTGCCCTGAAAGATTGTACACTTTTAACACCACAGTGTGATTTTTTAGTGATTTTTTTCATAGCAAGAGTGCACAAGGATCAAGCATAAACTGTGTAGGCGACAATGGGATTCTTGTAGGGGAGGGAACCTCCTCCGCCCACAGTCACCCAAATCCAACCCAAGTGTATCACACGTTACACATGCTTGTGTGATGGCCAGGCCAATATAGCAATTACTGATCTCAACCTCTCTACATGCCTATATGCCTATGAAGGCAGGCATTTATAGTTATTAAGCAAACATGGAAATTTCTTACTTAAGTATTAAGCTTGGGTTTGTTATGTTATTTGGTAAAATGATTTAATAAATTAAAATGGTTTTTTTAAGCTACTGTGGTATAGGAGCCACAAAAATGTGTCTAATAGTTTTTGTTCATGATACTGTTATAATTACATATATATTACTACTAAAAACAAATGGTTGCTTACATATTAAGTTTATATAATGTAACTATATTATATATTTTATTTGCAACTCAAAACAATTCCTCTTCACTCCGTGTGGCCCAGGGGAGCCACAAGGTTGGATTCCCATGTTGTGGGGGGTTGAGTAGTGACCCTCTCAAAGTCATGGGCACCCCAGTCTCATATTTATTATGTATCACAATATGTACTAATAAAAGAAATGGAAAACAAAAGCAAAAATAGTATGACCTCATTTGGAAAGAGTGTCCCAGCAGACTTGATGAAAGTAAGGTTTGAGAGGAGGCGGCATGGATTAAGATGGGCTCTAAATCCAACTTGTCCTCGCAAGAGACAGAACGAAGACACAAGGACATGCAGAAGGTGACATGCAGGCAAAGGCAGGCTCGGAGTGGTGTCCATGGCCAGCGTGTGACAGAGGATGTGCTAACCCCTGAGCTGGAGGGAGCCTCAGGAAGGAGCCAGTTCCGCTGACACTTTAGTTTCGGACTTCTGACCTTTTGAACTACGAGAGGGTAAATTTCTGCTGCTTGAATATAGTTAGTTTTGTGATAGTTTGCTACATCACACTTAGGGAACTAAAATATTGGTTATTATAATGTGATTTATTCCTAATTGCATCTGACTAGAGAAAAACAGGATACATTGTCTGTACTTTGACATAAATGCCATCGTTTTATTTTATTTTGGCAGTGCTGAGGATCAAACCCAGGGCCTCACACATGGTAGGCAAATGCTCTACCACTGAGCTATGCCTCCAGCCCCGGTAATAGGTGAATAAAAAATTGATATTGTATCTGTGGTGGCCCAGCTTTTGAGGTAACCTGCGAGGGCCACATAGGAAGGACCTAAGCCTCCTGCCAACAGCAAGCACTAACCTTCTGTGCATGTTTTTGAGCATCTATGGATGGTCCTCCAGCCTCAGTCAATCCTTAAGAACAAGTGTAGCCTCCACTGTCAACTGCACCACGCAGCTCAAAGACCATGAGCCAGCACCATCCAGCTAAGCTGTGGCCAGACTCCTGCCTCTCAGTGAAAAGATGAGCGCTTCTTGTTTTAAGCTGCTAGGGCCCGGGGAAATTTGTTAGGAAGCAACTGGAAGCTTCTACAGTTCAAAGTACAAAACTGTGAAAGAGCTCTTGGTTTCCTCTCCTAAAACAGGTTTCCCCTGAGTTATCTTCTCCATTAGGCTTAGGTGAAAAATTCAAGTTATTAATTCCTCTTCTTCACTCTCACAATAAATTCAACAAGTACTATTGGTTTTTCTTCCAAAGTCAGTCCTGAGTCATACCTCATCTCACTTGCTCTGCTGTTCCACCTCAGTGTAATCCACTATCATTTCCCCCAACTACAGTAGCTTCCAAACTGCCCCAATTCTCCCAGTGTGGCCCCTTTAAAGCTATTTTGTTTTGTTAATTATTTGTTGGCAAATATAAATCATCACTTGTAACATATGGTGATAGGCGAAAATCCAAGATGAAGACCCTCATGCTGACTGCTGGCTTCAACGAGATATAACCGGAACCCTTGATATATTCTGTGCCCCTCCCTGAATGGCCCTACCTCAAGAAGCTACTGACTACTCTCCTGAATTTTGTGCTTTCAGTTGCTTGTTTTTCTCTAAAATGTTTACCAATCTGCTGTTCAGTTTTGCTTGTTTTTGTACTTTCTATAAAACAAGCAAAACATACTTGTCTTTTAAATGTAATATTACATTCCCAAGGTTCACCTTTGTTAATGTATCCAATTCATTCCTTTTTAAAGCTGTATAGAATTCCTTTCTACAACTATGTATTGACTTCTTTATTCACTCTCATCCTTTTAAAGGATAATTATTATCAGATGGCTTCCAAAATTAATTTCCTTCATGGTTTTCCACTTCACTTAGAATAAATTCCAGTCTCCTTTCCTTGGTATATAATTCGTTGCTCTTTCTGTTTTTTAATTTATTTTTATTCATTTCTGATTCTTCTCTCTGAAATAGTAGCTCTGTGAAGATAAGTGCTCTGTATGCTTGGTTCACACTATTTCCTCTGCACACAGCAGGTGCTCCATAAATATTTGTTGAGTGAATGAACAAATAATGGTTTGACCAAATGAGAAAAAAATAAAGAACCAAATATACTGGGCTCTGCACTTCTCCTTAGGTTGGTGGTTCAAGGCTGGGGGAAGACTTTGGCTCCAACAAACACTGGGAATATCTGGAGACATTTTGGTTGTCACAAATGAGTGTGGGGTGCTCCTGGCTTCTACTGAGTGATGTTGGGGAGCATCTTAAAAATAAATGGGGAGACTCCAACAAAGCAGAATTATCTGTTTCAGCATGTTAATAGTGCTGAGAAACCCTGCCTTAGGTTAAAAAAAAAAAGATGGCTTCAAAACAACCTTAAAAAATAACTTTAACTTTCTTTATGTTCGTTTTAGAAATAAAATTAAGATATGCAAGACTATAGGAAGTATTTTACGTAATAGAAACCATGGCAATCTAGAGAAGCAAAATACTGTATTTACAGGTAGATCCAAAGGGATTTTACCATTTGATTTTCCATGCCACAATGAACCAGAGAAGTTGTCATGTAGTTAAACTACAAACAAGAATACACATACTTGGCAGGGGTTGTAATTTAGTTTAAAATAAAAAATCTTGCCCAAACAATAAGGTCTTAACATAGTAGTATCAGTAAATTGAATTACAAGTTCTTAGTGTAGAAGAGATTTTAAACTTTTAAAATGCACACACTCAATGGGCTTATCCAAGGTAGTGTGAGGTGCCTGCCACCCACAGATAAGGCAAAGCGCTGAGCCAAGTATAATCCCCAAATCCACTTTGCTAGGAGGCTGGCCTGGCTGGAGCCTGGGCTGCAGGCTCACCTGACAAGAGGAACCTTCTAGAACAATCTCCCTTTGGCTTTTTGATTTTTAGCTTTCTGGACACGTAGCTTGAATTGTGTTTCCAGACTCACCAACCTCCCACTGGCTGGCAGTCACTGAAGACCTACTCTGTGCCTGGCACTGGTGCACAGCTGGGAGCTAAATCCATTTGTGTGACTCTAAGGTCCAATCTGAAGGCCTGGGGCCTCAGGGTGGCTAAACTGCCTTCATCTGCTGAGAAAGGTGACCAACAGATCTTGGCTCAACTGCCCAGAAATTCCCCTTAAGATATTCTGAATTAAACAATTAGAACTTTTACATTTAAAAATGTTACAATTGAAATTAAGAAATCAAAATGCTAAAGAAAATAAAAGTTAAACATTAAAAATATTAAATTAACGATGTTTTAAGGAAGGCTTCCTGCTGAGCTTTTGAGAAAGGTTCCCTGGGAGTGGGATTAATGATTTTTATTACCTGGAGGAACGTGTGGGCCCATAGTCGTGACCTGACCTTCAGGACGGCGCTCTCACCTCTTTCTAGTTGCCCCACCACACAGGAGATTTGTAAACACTCAATATTTGTACAGTTCTGCAAAATACAACAGGAGTGGCAGCCCATCAGTATCTCTCGGGGGTGGCCGAGAATCAACAGTGCAGTCGTTTTATTTACATTTTATTTCCTCAGAAATCATTGCCTTACCTGCAAATTGAATTTAACTCATTTAATTTAAAGAAAGAATAAATACACTGGAACAAACAAGGAAGAGCACAGTGTGGAGGTCACAGATCTGCAGACTCTGGTGGTAATAGATAAAATGCAGCATTCGCCGCCTGCTGCGCAAGTGCAAGGATCTGGGTTCGATCCCCGGCACACACACAAAAAAATCTAAAATGCAGATACAGCATAGTACCATCTTCCTGCAGTGGCCAGAGAGTTGTGTTTCATTTTCTCAGAGCTCAGGAAGAAGTTTCTTACAGGCAGCCATAAAATCTCCTGGTACCCTGACAAGTCTGGAAGGGGGTGGAGAGAACCCCTCCAAGTATGTTACATCAAAGAAAAAGTCACTGAGTCACTGACAGCCATTTGTTCCACCATATTCTCCTCCTGTTGAAATGACTTCCTAGTTGGGAGCAGCCCCATCTGTGAGTTCCACTCATTAGGAGTTTTTAAACCAATTCTCAGAGTAGCTCACCTTATCACGGGTCACTTTTAACACATGAAGTGCATGATCCTGGAAAATATTCATTATGATGACATTCTGCCTATCAAATTGTATTTTCTGATTGGAACCCAGTGTGGAAATAAGTGGATACCCCACAATCTATTTTCTGTGTGCCATGCAGAGAGTGCTACTTCTCTCTGTGTACCCTCTAACTGATGTGAATTTATCCTGTGGACTATCCTTATTTGTTCTTCATGTCTCAAGCACTTGCCAGTTGACTATAGGTGCTCAATAAAAATACAATTATTGGATATTATGTGAAGTTCTTGACTGAAGCATTTCACTTTAAAGAAATTGATAAACTATAGAATAGCCTGAAGAAAGTAAACGATGAAAATCTTTTTTAAGCACTGAAGAACTGTCTGAAAACCAAACAATTAGTAATGTGTATCAGAGAAATGGTAAGGCTAGATTTCTGCATGATTATTCCAAATTCAGGTGACCAGGCTGTCCTTGTACTGCCAGAGTTGAGCACTGAGGTTCCTATGGCAGGAACAGGAGACTGCAAAGCTATGTATCCTGACTGATAGGACAAGTACCACCCATCCCCTACTGGAGGCAAGGAGGAAGCTGGCAGTTACCAACTCCTTGGAGTTGGTGATCCCAGCTAACTAGCTCTGATGGAGGATTATGGAGAAGCTGATGTCTGGAAGGACTTTAAGAGTGAGAAAGGGTTACCTAGAAGGAGGGGATAACTGACACTTGGTCTTCTCTTACACACGAGGGATTGGGAAGGAAAGGGGAAGGCAGGGATATGGGGGTGAGATGGACAGATGGAAATAAGATGGGAAAGAGAGGGTCTAGGTAGTGAAGAATCTTTCTACTGTGCTAAGTAAGGAGCTTAGATTTTTATCTGTAAGATACTGGGGAATCCATGAAGGGTTGCAGTAAAGAGCCACAATCAAATGTGTATTTTAGAGGAACAGCTGGTATTTGAGGAGAGAATAGCAAGGGCAGAGTGGGAGGCAGGAGAATGATTAAGGGCCAGGGCTGGGACCTAAATGAGAAATGCTGGGGCCCTGAGTTGAAGCAGTGGGTTAGAGAGAAGACAAATTTTGGAGAAGGTTGGGAAGTATAATAGATACTTGCAACCTGCCATGAAGAACAAGGAGGAGTTGAGGAAGCTCTCTGTGGACCGGATCAGGGTCGATGGGTCCTGGTATTGCTGAGAAGGGGGATTCTAGAAAACAGGTACTACTGGGGAGTCATTGGAGATAAGAATTTCAGACATATTGGGACTGGAGTGGCTATCGACATCCAGATGAACCTTGCAAATGTTGAAGGCAGTAAGGTAGAGCTAAAATGGCAGGAGGCACCTGGAATTATGGGAATACAGTCATGCAAACATTTCCCGGAAAGAGCAAAATTGACAGGAGATGAGAGGAGGGGGCTGAAGATGGTATCCTGAGGTACAGGGCATTTAAGGATGGGAAGAGATGTCCATGAAAAATCCCAAGATTGTGCTAGCCAAAAGGTAAGAGAAGAACCAGGAGAGGGTGTTCTGAGGGAAGCCAAGGGATGTGAGAAATGCTGAAGAGAAATTAAGAAAGGTTTCAGTAAGCTGAGTAGTAAAAGGAAAGAGAGAAAAGTTTAGAGGAGATAGAGATATAGTGGCAAATGCAGCAGGGGCCAAGATGAGACAGGCAAAGATATTCTTAGGATGGAAGAGAATTATATTTCAGTGTTAAAGATACATTTTGAAATTCAAATTGGAAATTACGATCCCAACACAGGATGTTGACATTTCATACTTTCAAATTCCTAATCAGAAATGTGATTCACCAAGTTGTTTTTAACCAAACAAAATCTGTAGGAGGTCTTATTTAGCTTTTGATTTTAGAATAAACTTTGCATAATCATTCGCTATCCAGAGTTGTTTTGACTTGACAACATGTGAAGGCATGATTTGAACCAATGAGAGACAAAGAAAGAAAATATGAAATGAAATCAGATATGGAAATCAAGGATTACCATGCCAATCATCTGTGGGTAAATAAACTTCGATGATATTCAGAAACCAAAATTTATCAAAGATATTTAATGAGAAACAAGGAAAAACATTTGCCCCAATAATACAATTGCATAAACATTTCAAAATAAATTTACTTATTGATATACATTACATCAGGGAACTCATGAAATACAGAAATGGAAATTTAAAAACGTAAAAGATGCACAAAAACAAAACACTATGAGCTAGGGTATAGCTCAGTGGTAGAGCATTTGCCTAGCACACACAAGATGCTGGCTTTGATCCCCGGCACCAACAAAAACAAACAAAATTTAACATAATTGATCTTTCAAATTGTTAGTTCTGCATAAATTTGGACACTGGCTTTCCAGAGTGCTTTTCCCATCTGGGCTGTACATATTAGAATTCCATAGATACAAATTATCATTATCTGTTCTATTAGTCCCCAGGAAGTTTTTTTTTAATGACAGAATGCAATTCTATTGATTACCCTAAAAGAGATAGTATATGTACTCCCTACTCTTATCTTATCTTTTTAAAAAACATTATAAGGTCATAAAAATTCACAGGTACTTGAATCATAACCTGCCATCTACAGCTTAATGCCATACAATTTTAGGTATTTCTGTTACAATACATGTTTCTCATTTGACTTTGTACTTTTCTGTCCATTTCCATATTTGAATTTTTTTTACCATCAAGAAGAGAAAATAAATGAATGCCAGAGAACCCCTTAAAACATAATTTAAAAAAAATCATTTAAAACATTTTGAGAGTACAGTTCAGTGGCATTAAGTACACTTACGCTGTTGTACAACCATCACCACTACCTACTTCTAGAACTTGTATTTTATCATCCCAGACTATAACTCTGGTTCCTGAAAACCGGTGTATCGATGAGGCTCAGAGCTAGAATTTGTGTCCTCTCTTTTGATGACTCTTTACCTCTAATTAAAGGTTACTCATATAACGGGTCACATGTTCAGGACTTTCAGGACTATGATTGACTTGATATGACAGCATCCTACTTTATTGGGCTGAAATAAATAGGATCATCACTTCTTCATATTTGTTTCTAATTTTAAAAAATGAAATTAAGTCAGGGTTGGTGTAGCATTAGAAAAGAAGTCCGTTTAAGACTTCCCTAGTTCTCCACTTACTATCCCATTTGTCTAGACTCTGGGGACAGGGGAAGGAGGGACAGGGGAACATGGTAGGGCAGTTAAATGATCAAGATGTCATATGTATATGCACCCCTTCCCCGAGGTAAATGAAATGATTATGTACTGCAAACATACTAATGAAAAAAGGGAGGATTCTGGGGCCTTTGTAAAAACCCTTTACATGCTTCTCTGTCTCATCTGATGACTCAGGCTGAGGCCCCTGGATGAGCTGATCTGGGGTCAGGATTCAGGGGGAGACAGAGCCCACAGGCAGGGGGCAGTCATTTGGGTTTGGGGAACCTGAACCCCAAGTCTATGGATTACAAAAGAGAACCATTTCCTGTCAGCGCTTCTTTGGCCTGAAGCAAATGACCTTGTGGCTACCCATGGCTGTCCAGACCCAGCCTTTATTCTGAGTCTGCCTCCTTTATTGGACCTTTCCTGCCTCTGCCCTCCCCAGCGCGCGCGCACACACACACACACACACACACACACACACACACACAGATTCAACAAATTTGCCTGGAAGGGGAATGCTATTTACACCCAGTGAGTTCTCTGCTTTGGGAGGGAAGTGATTGTTAAGTTCACTCACACTGTTATTTTACATTTTATCTTCTGCAAACTCTTTCTAACCTTTAATCTTTCAATTTTTCTTTTCTTTTTTTTGGTACGGGGATGGAACTCAGGACCTTGCACTTGCGAGGCGGGCGGTGATAGCACTGAGGTAAATCCCCAGCCCCAATCTTTCAATTTTTAAAATTAAGCTTATTATTACTCCTTTCAATCCAATCGTACAAATGCTGAAGTCAAGGGTTCAGTTCCTCAGGCATAGATTTGCTCCCTTGAATGATTTCACTTTATAATTGGATGGAATAATTATATTCCCCAAGCACTGCCTGGTACATTGTCATAAGAGCCATTTCCTTTGAATTGAGTAGGTGGGGTGGCTATCGAATTTAGTCATTACTGACACTAACCTTCAAACTGCTCATACATGTTTGCTCAGAATTGGGTTAAAAGAGCCCTGAGGACCAAGAAGGACAGGTAGAATGGCACACCAAGGGCATTTTGAAGGTGCCTCCAAAGCTACTAGGAGTCACATTCATCTGCTGTCTTGTTCTCATTTTCACTCAATGAATGGGCCAGGACTGAGCTGCAACCTGGAGAAACGGCATCGATCTACTGCACATATTCTTATGGACTTTCAGTAGGGTGGAAGATAAGAAGGAAGAGGACCCAAGGGCCAGAGCACTGTGGTGCCCAGCGGAGCCCCTGGCAATTGCATATTTCTGGCATAAACAGCCTGAAGAGGGTTGGCAGCATTGCGGCTGGGTGTTTCATGGCTCTCACCTGGCAAGGACAGTGACCGTGGCCCATGCAGAAGTAGCTGCAGAGCCCTCCTTGGCTCAGGGTGGTCTCTCAGTTCTGCCTTCATCCTCCTGTTCTTCTTCTCCCTTTGCCCTGAGGCCTCTAGCCAAGAGTTTCTCTCTTCTGATAGCCTCTTTGGAGAGACCACTCTTGGCTTAGGACGGTGGCTTTTGCCTCAGTATCACCCCAAGATAATACATCTCAGGCTGAGCTTCTGCAGTCAGCTGGGGCTGGGGGAGCACCCGCTGAGTCCCTCCCCACGCAAGGTACTAGGACACAGGTTCTCAGGTTGTCCCCACCTCAAGCCCCTGCATATGCGTTTCTTGATTTGGAAGAGGAGGCTGGGGTCTGTGGTGCTCTCTGCTTCTGCATAGCTAGAGAATGTGCTTGGAGCCTCCTACTCTTTACGGAGCTGTTCTGTGGCCAATAAATGAAATGAACCTTGCCACTGACTTAGAGCCTCTGCCACTCAGTCAGGCAAAAGGATGAATACCCATCTGAGGAGATAAGGCTCTGTATCTAGCGTGCTGCTGACAGCTTTGCAAAGTCCTGATGAAGCTCGGGCTGGACCTAACACAGATCCCAAGGTTAAGACTCTGCAGGGGCTTTGGCCCAGGAAGCCTGGCTACACCATCCTCTCCTGAAAAGCAAGGACCTGAGAGTCAGTGACAGGTGTAACTTTCAAAGGCCATTGGCTGGACAGTGCTCCATCGAGACTACAAACTCTCACCAGCTCAGTCCCTGTGGATGAACCAACAGCTGAACCTTTACATTCTTGAAATGGATTAGAGGTTATAACCAGTGTTTTTATCTGTATTTCTCAAAAATGATTCCCGTGGCAGCTTTGGAAGAGTGAAAAATTTATATTACAAATGCTCCTTTACCTCACAGAAAGCTCCAATTTCTCACAGTTTGTCCTGCCAAGAAATGTCAGGCATATCTGAGCACTGGAGGAGACCAAATGCAAGGCCTGAAGTGAAAACCACCTGTAGCAGGGACTTCTGCTGAATCCAATCCTTCCCCTTAGTTGGATGCACATGGAGGCAACTCACCAGTATTTTTGCAGGGCTCTGTCTGTGGAGCTGGAGCACAGGCACATCTCGCTTCCTGACAAGATGAGGGATAGTAGAATTTCGCAAAAAGGCACTGAGCTCAGGGGTATCCTCTGGGGAGGCAGCCGGCTGCAAACAGAAAGCAGGAGGAATCAATTGCATTAACAGTTGTTACCTTTTTATGAGCTCTGAACTCTAGACAATCCCCCACACCTTCAGTGAATTGGATTCACACGAGAGTTCAGACCTGGGATTTACCCACAGCAAGTTCCATGGCAGAATGGCCTTCCTTGACAGTGAATGAGCCTTTCCACTCTCCAATTACAGCAATTCAGGAAGCTAGGGAGTGCATTCTTGGGAAGTTTCTCTTGTAAGGATAAGAGTTTAAGCAGAAGTGACTTCCCCACGAGGGCAGAATATGTACAGCTGACTTTTCAGCCATGGGTTATTCTCTTGTTATTCTCCTCTCATTATGCACTGGGGCTGGCTAAAGTGAGGGACATTCTGCATGGGGGAGATGGATCCTGAGGTGGAAGAAAAGTGGAGAAGTAGCCCAGTGTGGTCAAGGATCTGATCTCTACCTTATTGTGTCCCCCACTTCTGTGCTCCTCCTGAGAAGTGTTCCCAGGACAGAACTGGTTCTAATGGAAACGACTTTTCCAAAGCATGGCCCTGTACTTCACACTGTAACAGAGCGTGCTTTCAGCCCGTTTATTTTGTAAGTGTTCTAGAACTGGTGATTTTATCTCAGGCTTCATGCTGGGTACATCTGATGGCTAAAAAAACTATTATGAAAGTTTCAGTAAGTCACACATAATAATGCCATTCTTTATGTTGGACCAACTGAAATACAGAAGCTCAGTTTTCTGACCCTGTCCCATGTGTGAACCTGAGAATTATGTGTTCTTTTACATGGGTTTTGGTTTAAGCCAGGGGAACAATACCCTATGGCCATCTCTATGGAATGAAAAGAGAAATGCCTACATTGTGATGCAGGTTGCACCACAAAGGGTGGAATGACAGTGCTCAGTCTATCAGAAGGACCTTGCAAAACCCACTGGCACCCATCATGGTCTGTAAAGCTACACGGCAGTGGTCTGAGTTGCCCAATGAGAAGATGTAAAGTGAGAAGCAGAGAATCATATATAAGCTTCCAGAAAGCACTAGAATAAAAGGCAAAGGAAGAAGACCCAGCAAGGGAAATACAGCTGAAGTGATCAGAAAAAAGGACAACCAGGAAAGTATGGCTTCAATGATGCCCAAGAAAAAACAATTGCAAAACACGAGGGAGTGACAAACAGCACTACACAAATCCCGAAGAGGAGAAAGGAAGGGCAAGGAACAAAAAGCATTTGCTGCTCTGTCAACATCATGGATGTCCTTTCCTCAATAGGAGATGTGGTACAGGTGGAAACTGAATTGCAGTTGCTAAAGAGTGAACAGGTTTCAACAAATGGATAACTATTTGGAAAAGTACGAAATTAAGCTCTTCTATCATTCATTCTCATATTTTTTTCCCCATTAACTTTATTGGTACATTTTAGGTATAAAATACAGTTACATTCATCATTGGGATCTTGTACCATTACATGAGTCTCTTGG